GCTCCATCGGTTTTCAGCTTGCCGGTGGAGTCCACATCAGCAGAACGGGTAGGACATCCTAGTTAACCTGTGTTTCTCTCCCTCTTTCCCTGGGTTATTCCTTTACCTTTCTCCTTATTAATAAATCCATTATTTAACCTTTTGAGTGTGTCCATAATAGGACTGAATCGTAAGCGCATGGATGAAGACCCACAGACAGGCAACCCAATTCACATTGGGGTGCCCTGTAACAAAAGTTTGTTCTTAATTCTTCCCCATTTCTCTACTAAGCTATTGGTTGGAATTTGAAGTTTTTAATGTATACACGCATAACAATCTTTTGTTAGTTGTGTATTATGAGAATTGTTACTCGCTTTTCCCAATTTTTAGCTTAACTTGTAAGGTGTCATTTGATGCAAACTAATTCAATTTTAATATTCATATTTTCAGTCTCTTACTAAACATACATTAGTCTGATTAAGAAATCTTTTTCTACCCATTGTTCCCATTAACAATTTAAAGACTTGATTCTCATATGTGAAAACAAACACTCAGGGCCCCTATTTAAACATATTTAAATGAGGCTGGTGGCTGCGTGAACGTGTGTGATCCAGAGAGAGAGATTCTTGACAGCCCCAAGACTGGGGGACAAACTGGTGTCACGGGGTCCATTGTGCTACTGCTCACTGACCCTGGAGTTTGCAGGGGCAATGTCGCTAAGATCTGAGCATCCACCCTGACATTACCGAGCTTTCCACAGGCTTACTCAGGAATACTCTTTGGTTTGGTTAAGGCCTTACTGCCTCTGGGCATAGCCTTGGCACTTGGGCTGGGTTCCACTGTAGAAGTCAGGTTGCTCTCCATGGGATCTGTGTGAGCCTATGAGCTCACCTTCCTCCTGCTGAGTTGGTACAGGTCTTCCCCCCAGTCCAGTGGAAGCAGGCTTAGAGCTCCTACTTGGGAGAATTGCCCTGTCTGAGCACTAAGATCAGCATGGTTGAATACAGACCTTTTCCTTATCAGAAAAATTGTGCTATCTAGGCACATCTTCAAACAACTAGCAACAACAAATGTTGGCAAGGATGTGGAGAAAAAGGAACTCTACTGCACTGTTGGTGGGAATGCAAATTAGTACAACCACTATGGAAAACTGTTTGGAGGTTCCTCAAACTGCTTAACATGGACCTTCCATGTGACCCAGCAATCCTGTAACAGGGTGGTCCCTAGGAAAAGGGGAAGTACCAGGTTCCCTGCCCCACCCAGAAGGAGGGTGGAGCTGAGCAGAGAAAAAAAGAGAGAAGAGAAAGGAAGGAGGTGGGATGGAGAACAAGGAGGAGATCTGAGGAAGCCACATGGAGCAGCAAGCATGTGATGAAGAAACTGTGCTTGTTTCCTGACCCTGGACTGGTTA